TGCAATATAACAAAGAGTGAAAAATTTAAGGGGGTCTGAATACTTTCCGTACCCACTGTATATATATATATATGTATGTATGTTTGTGTAAATCATGTTTGTAGTCTCTTCATGTCAGTAGTACTTCCTTTCGGTGAGATTTTAGAAGATAGTGAGCTGAATGCATGTATTTACATTCACACAAGCATGACAGAACAAACATAGCAATTTATAAATCAAGCACGAAAGCACAATTATCCTTTATATGCGGACAGGAATACATGCTATCCTGCTCTTCCAGGCTTCTGCTAATGCATCGGAAGTCATTCAAGAAGCCAGAGCAACAAATTACTTGTGTTTGTCATGGTCTGGGGAAGATTCAACAGTGCCTAAGCACAGTGCATAAAGCAGGCTTAGAGCCGGCCCACCCAGCCGCCAGTAAACAGACGGGCCTCGCTCTCACGGGACAATCTTTCTGCGTCATTATAATTTCTCTGAGACGGCGACAACAATGTCTGAAGCCTTGATTCTGCCTCACATCCGATCTGAAGACTTCATAGCTCATATCTAAACAACAATTTCGACACCTGCCTTTCTGGTTATGTTTGTTCTCTGTAATCCCAGAGGCTCATATTCATAGACGAGAAATGTTTCCCATGGATGGTGAATATAGAAGTCGTGCCAGTTTAATGGCCCACACAGGGAGGCTGGTTCTAGATATTTCTAAAAACATTTTATCTTTAAATCTGAGATATTTTGCTCTCCTTTCACAGGTTGCATTGCTAGAAAGATCATAATAATGCAATCTCCCGTGATTAGCCAGCATAAATTATTGGATTATTAGCCAATGAAATGGCTTTGTGGAAAGACCATGGCAACAGGCCACACCCTCTGAGCTCTGATGATCAAGCTTCACACATCAGCGCATTTTCATTATATTGTTAAAGCCAGCTATTATTTTAAAAGGAATACATTAAATCAAATCAAAAGTAAAATCAAATGAGAGTACATTTGCATTTTAATCAAATCTAATTTTCACAATCCAAAATATCAAACAACAGAAAGAATTTCACTTAAATTCAAGAAGGTTAAATTGAAATAAAGCAAGTACTACTACTACTAACAACAACAACAACATCAAAAATTTAATGAATGTGGGTTTAATTTTTTCATTAAATAATGGACAATTATACATTAATAATATACATTATATATACTGTATATATATATATATATATATATACACACACATATACACATACATGTGTATGTATGTATATCAATTATATAGTATAACATATACACACATATAATTGTAATTATAACATTATTATATATTATTACTTAATAAATAATAAGTTCATTTTAAAAAGTATAGTTTTTTTCCCCCTTTTTCCCTTCATATTTTTAATCATCAAGTCCAAATCCATATAGTTTTCCTTCTGCGGACTACAAAAGTAGAGATTTTGCAGATATTTACCAAGTGTACAGTGATTTATAAAGCAAAACTCCACAATTGGGATAAAAGTCTTATAAAAAAATCATAATTCACAGAGCCAAAGCTCTGAAAAAGTCACACTGACAAATAACATAACATAACGTAACGTAACGTAACGTAACATAACATATAACATAACGTAACATGACATGTCTGAAACAACATAAGAGTCAGTAAAAACTTACAAAATATCCATTTTTGGGTATTCAATTATTCAGTTCAGTTATATAATTATTCAATTATAACTTTTAATTAATTAAAATCAAAACATGCACCAAAAACAATTTTCTAGACATAATTTAGTTTTACATAACCATTTTCCTCCCTCTCTCTGGTCATATTAAACTACTGTACAGTTACTGTACCTTTAAGACTTCTATATATAAACGACATCTGTTATGGTTGTCTAATCTCCCTGTAGTAGCAGTTCACACTGTTGTTCATCAGAAAGGCAGGTTACTGCTTAGGTGAACAGGTGTTGATGTATAAATGTAGGCGGTCATATGTTAATATGCGTATGTTCACGATGTCTGAATTCTAATTTACCAAATTTTGCAGCTTAGTTCCCATAAATGGTCTGGGTGGAGCTTTGCGTTGCATTCGCTTACAAAGCAGATTGGACTCTTTTGTTTTAAAAGAGCAAAGACAATCCTGTTTTCCAAGACATGCCTCCGTTAAACCATATCAAAAAATGTGACCAATTTGAGCTTATCAGTGCTGTCAGAAAATAGCTGTTAGCTAAGCCCTTGTCTGCACATACACAAGACATTTAGCTCAAAGCAGACTATTTAACCTGAGTGAAACCCTCTTTTATGATCCTCCCTTAATCTGTGCTTTTGATTATTCACCCATAAACAGCCCCTATGAGCCCGACGCTCCTCACTTACACACACATGGCCTAAACTCAATCTTTACATGTGGTCTCGAAGTAATGCCGAAAGAAAATATATCTCATTAAAGCGAGTCTGTGCTTGTAGCCGTAAGCGCCGTGCTCTGTCAACAGAAGACGAGCAAAAGAATGAAATAATGCTGAACAGAGCTGGGTAATGAGAGAATATGGAGGACAAGGGGATTAATTCCTCTTATCTTCTACAAAACATAATACCTGGGTATTGCTAAGCAGCCTGAAACATCAAGAGACAAGGCGAATAGCAATCCGCTGCGCTCATTTATTAATGTTTCCAAATAACAGTGCGAAGGTAGCCATTAACTGTGCCGGAAAACACACCCTCAACACCTGAACACAGCTCAGTTTACTGCATTTTCACAACAGCCCAGACTGACGCAACTGATATGAGGATATGATGTCAACGTCACCCACTTAGCGCTAACTGCTTTTGGCCCTGCGTGTGGACTTTTATAAATAAACTCTCTTAAAACACACTCAGACTAGTTTAGTTTGTCTGCTAACGGTGTTTATACAAGGCTTGCTATTTATTTAGACTGTTCTGAGACGTCTGTATGAACAGTGAATATTCCCATCACATTTCAAATGATAGCTATATATTTTGCTATCTTGAGATGGAAATTTTGGTGGTGGAAATTACATTTTAGACACTTTTGGAATAAAATGACAGTTCTTTAGCTCACTAAGCATTTATCCTAAATAAAAATAAATAAATGAATACAGAAATTATAATAATAAATTAAATAAATGTGTACAGATAAAATAAATAAATAAATAGATAAAATTTAAAGGATAAATAAATAAATAAAATTTAAAGGATAAATAAATAAATAAATACATGGATAAATAATAAAACAAATAAAATAGTTATTTTTCTTTGCATAATTTGACAAAAAATAACATTATTATATATTATTATTTGAAATAAATATAATGAATTATACGTTTGTTTTAAAAATAAATAAATAAATAAATAGATAGATAGATAGATAGATAGATAGATACGTGGATAAATAATAAAACACACAAAAATGTTCTTTCTTTCTGCATAATTTGACAAAAAAAAAATGTTTGAAATGATACAAATTAAAAATTACATCAAATTTTACCTTAAAGTTTTCCTCACACATTACTTCATATTCATATTTAATCTCAAGCTCTTCCTTGATGCTGCTGTATCACTTAGTACACTAACTTTTATTAAAACTTTTCAAATTACAAAAGCATTGGTTGTGAAATTGTTTGGAATTGGTCGGAAATTCTTATACAACTACTACAATACAGGGAGTGTTATAATTAAAAAATATATATATATATATATATAAACATTTTATACAATAATAAATACTGAAATAAATACAGCTTTTTAGATTATCATACATTTTTTAATGTAACGCTTATTTTTATTATTTATTTAAAAATATTTTAAATATTTTACATTTTTAAGATTGAAAAAGGATAGCACAATAAAATCTGTAATCACATAATAGTCAATTGTATAACTAATAGAATAAAGTTGTCCAATTAGTTTAAATAGTTTCTGTTACTTTTAATAAACCCCTGGGACCTTAAAATGTGGCCATTGCTAAAGAAACACCCAATTATCCCTCATAATTTCCAAGACCTGAATGGGGTGTTAAAGTGGGAAACAAATAGTCACAAACGTTCCTGGGTTTCCCGGATGACAGCGTCTGCATGCGGTAGGGTGTCTGTAAAATCTTTATGGATTTCTGCTGCTGGGTTTTGTCAGGCCACAGCACAACAGACCGCTGGCCACGGGTTTGCTGGAGCTTCATTTGGGCGCTGCATATACACACTCTTCCCCTGATAACCGTGTCCGGACGGGGCTGTGACTGTCAGCATGGAGTCCAGGACAGCACAAATCCTCCCGTGATCTCCAGACACAGCCACAGGGATTAGCAGAAAACCGCTGCTTCACATCCAGCCAGAGAACAAGCGTTACACTGGAGTCGCCACAGTTGACGACTTAAACATGCATTCGGCAGCAGAGCAGAGAAACTGACAGCGCGTGTCACATTTCATCTATTAAAATAGACAGGGATAAAACACCCTGTTATCCTTTATAAATGGATGCACTGTTCATTGTTTAACCAAGTAGAGAAAAAACATTGCTACCTCAGTGCTACCTACATATTGCCAGTCTTCTACAAATCTTTTCACACATACATACACACAAATTTATATGAATGTGTGTGTGTGTGTATATATACACTCTAAAAAATGCTGGGTTAAATATAACCCAGCGCTGGGTTAAAAAGGGACAAACCCAGCTATTGGGTTGTTTTGACCCAGCGGTTGGGTTCAAAATAACCCAACTGCTGGGTCAAAACATCCCAACTGCACCTGTATATATATATATATATATATATATATGCCATGCTCTACATTTTCTACTTCATCTGAATTATGCCACATCACAGAAGCACAATGCTTTGTGAATGTCATTCCATGTCGTCTTGAAGAAACACCACTGGGTTGTATTTTAATAGGCCTTTAGTAACGGGAAATTCCACCGTACCATCATAACCCCATCTAGAGCTCATCTGTAGGTGAAAAAAATGGCAACTGTGGGCATGAAGATTAATTATGAAAGACATCAGCGCTGATAAAAGTGTAATTTAAGAGCAGTTCATCCCTGGGTCTCGGCTCAAAGAGAGAAGGCAGAGCGTGACGGGATGCTGCACTGACACTGGCCTGTCACATTTTAATTGCAATCACTCTCTACAAGAAAACAGAGAAGACCAAAAAAAAGCACACATACAGTTCCTGTCATTTTTTATGTAAGACAGACCCATCAAATAACCCTACAGAAGGCTAAAATATATGCTGCATCGATTATTTGAGAGAATTTTGCATGGAATGTATATACCATTACCATTGCACATTTCTAATACACCAATACTAAATAAGTCATTCTCCATCTGAAAGCTTTAAAAAGTGTTTTTTTCCAGCATTGGCGTGGTTCTTCTGCATTTCAGAAGATTCTTACAAAGCAGTTTGCAGAGGAAATCCCCTCTATTTCAGCACTCACGAGTCACAATGTGTCTCGGCAAGTTGTAATTTAGTCACATTGAAAGCCGAATGTCTGTTTATGTGTAATTATTCTCGTTTCTTGTGCTGCGTTTCCTTCGGCTCCTCGGTGTGTGAATGGGAGCTTCCCTCAGGCGTGTTCAGTAGCAGAGAGCAAATCGTAGCATGTAATCCTAACTCATGTCAGAATGCCTCTTTATGACTGCAGAGCTAATAATACAAACATGTATTCTGTCACACAAATCTGCTGGGCATGGCGAGCGCGAAAACAAGAACAGTGCCTCAACTGACTGAAACAAGAGTATTGTGGGTAAAGTCATTTTTAAAATGAGGAAAAACAAAGACAATGAATGCACTGTGCTGCAAACTGCAAATGTAAAATTCAATTACATTTTCTGAAGAGCCCGTTTAATATTTCATCTCAAGCATGCTTTTTACTGCAGTTGTCTCCTTAATAAACAAGCACACTAACATCTGAGGGGAAAAGTCTGAGGGGGAAAAATGCTTATTTGTGGTTAAAATTATGCCTAAAATAATGAATAGGCATTGTGTATACATCAATAATTGTATCCAGTCATTTTAATTCCTTTTTATTAAATTTTTACCTTTATTAATTTTTTATGTAACAATTCATCTATCTATCTTATATACTAATTATATACGTATATATACATTTATGCAATCATTTTAATTAATTTAAGTATAATCACTTTTTATTTCATGTAATAATTTTAGTATAATTTTATATGAATTAAAATGAATTAAATTTATTTTAATATATAATTTAAATTCTTTTTATGTATAATTGAATTTTTTAATATATGTAAGAACGTTTTTACATTATTTGTAATTTTACGTACTAATTATTTCACTTAATACTTTTATGATGAATTGTTTTTAATTATTTTTTTATTTTATTAATTCTAAGTATGAACAATATTATCAGTGATGCTTTTCTTACCAAATATCACTAATAATGTCCACATTTTGTCTAGGTTTAGAGCAAGGCATGCTGGGATGTCCCTCGTTTCACTCATCTGGTATAATTTAATTGTACTCTATATATATATTACTATTTTATATATATATATATATATATATATATATCATTTTAAGTACAACGTTCTAAATATTTGTATTAATTCAAATGTATTAAATTTAATATAGAATTTTAATTAATTTGAAAAACAATTACATTTTTTATTTTATGTAATAATTTTTAATAATCTTAATTTTATGTAATAATTAATAATTTCACTTAATTAATAATTGTATGATGATTTTGTTATTTTGTTTGTAAGTATGAACTATATTACCAGTGACACTTTTCTTAGCAACTAGCTCTAATAATGTTCACAACGAATCTATGTTCAGTGCAAAGCATGCTGGGATGTCGCTGGATCATGTGACTCACCTGGGGTAAAGTCCCACCCCCACGTCCTGCAGCTCTCCATCACTGATGCTGAAACAGTTGCAGGTCACCTGTGTGAAAACATGAAAAAGGCTGTGAGACACTCACTGAGGACATAACATTCTCCTCTCATCATTAGTTCTCTGCTGATAATTTGACTATTTGTGCTTTTTTTCCTCCCATTGAGAAAGAAATTATGCAGCCTGCCAAAAACGCTTATGCAAATCTAAATGAACTCATAATTTGGTGATACCAGACTTGAATAAGTTGTTCTCATTTCAACCAGATCCCAGATGTTCACTATCATTCCCCACACGGAAGAGCACGAGGGGCTCGTTGAGTGAGATGTGTGTGTGTGTGTGTGTGTGTGTGTGTGTGTGTGTGTGTTTGGTCTGATTGCCACAGGGACGGTGCGCTGCAGAACTCCAGCTGGACAGAGTCCATCTCCCGGAGAGATGGGGCAAACACATCCAAAACGAGTCACAACAAACCCAAATGAGGAAGCAGAGGACGGCACCGGGCGATTTTGATGGCTTTTTTAGATTGGGCTCTGCGGGATACACGAGTGATGTGTGGAAGGAGAAAAGCAAACAGAACACACTCATAAATAGACAGTGTGAGCGTTGCTGGCACGGGGAACACAGCAGTGTGTGATTTCAAATGTTACAACACAATAAATTATTAACACTGAGAAGATGCATCCAAAAATGAACCCAATCGATTGTGCTGTGGAGTCGAAGACGCCACTGGATGTTTAAATAAATCATAGTTTAATATGACTATATTCTTAAAGGGAAAGTTCACCCATGAATAAAAAAATCTGTCATCATTTATTTGCCCTCATTTCGTTCTTGCTTAACTTTCTACTGTGGAACACAAGAGATGTTTTGAACATTGTCTATGCTCAAAATCAACTAGTTGGTGGGTTACCTGAGCTGAATTGGTCTTAAAGTGCCCCTATTACGCCATTTCCAATATTGCCTTTCATGCAGTGTGTAATATAGCTGTATGTGAATGTAAATGATCTGCAAAGTTGTAATATGTTCTCTGTTGGCCGGCCGCGAACTTGACCCCGCCCACAAACACGTCATTCTACTGACGACTGCTTCTCCAATCTCGGGGAGTTCGCTTGCTGTTGAAAGATGGATCAGAATCCTGTTTATTTGGACCAGCTGCTCCACTGAATCACAACCTGTAAGTATGATAAATAATAGACGTTTATACTTTCTATAGAGCATTCAAAATACAGAACTGTTGAAATAGGTGTATCGTTTCCGACACGCGCTGTACGCCGTAGACCAATCACAACAGACTAGGCCATCTGACTAATCAGAGCAGAGCAGGCTCACGGAAAGGAGGGGTTTAGAGAGACTGAATCTTTGAACTGCTTCGAAATAATCGTTTGAGAATCGCTGGAAAATGAGGTGATATTAAATGCATATTTTGAGAAAACGAAAGCGTTTCTGAAATTGCACGATAAATAAAGTTATTGTCTCCCAAAATAAAGAATCGACTCTGAACAGCTGAAACGAGTCGTGAGTAATTTGAATCCCACTTCAGTGACGGCTACACGTCATGGGGTAACACATTTGCATAATGCGCGCCTATGTTCTACATGTTGGCCGGCCGCGAACTTGACCCCGCCCACAAACACGTCATTCTACTGACGACTGCTTCTCCAATCTCGGGGAGTTCGCTTGCTGTTGAAAGATGGATCAGAATCCTGTTTATTTGGACCAGCTGCTCCACTGAATCACAACCTGTAAGTATGATAAATAATAGACGTTTATACTTTCTATAGAGCATTCAAAATACAGAACTGTTGAAATAGGTGTATCGTTTCCGACACGCGCTGTACGCCGTAGACCAATCACAACAGACTAGGCCATCTGACTAATCAGAGCAGAGTAGGCTCACGGAAAGGCGGGGTTTAGAGAGACTGAATCTTTGAACTGCTTCAAACGAAACGTTTGAGAAAATGCATATTTTGAGAAAACGAAAGCGTTTTTTGACCTTGCATGCATGTAATCCTATTGTAGGAGTCTCCCAAAACAATACTAGGAACCGTAAAAATGGCATAATAGGGGCACTTTAAGAAAGCCCTTTAGAATTAGATTTTGAGTTTACATGACCCTTATCAGTTGTTTCTTAAACAAGACATGTTCTTGTTTTTAAAAACAGAAATTTGAGCCATCGTCTGAAACTATTATGTTGCTCAATACTCAACTCAATATTACTCACAAATATAATTTGCATTTGAATACATTGCAACTTGCATCAGATTTTCCATCAAAGATTGGAGAGAAGTGTTGTTATTGTTAACAAAAGCTAAAGCTAAATCTACTAAAAAAAATGGTTTTGTTGATTGAAGTAAAGCAAAAAAATCGAATCTAAATAATGGAGGAAAAACTGAAAAAATAAATAAATAAAATAAGTTTAAGTTACTAAAATTACTGACACTAAAACTTAAATAAAAATAAAGCTAAGCAGATATAACAAAATAAATATTTAATTAATTAAAATTAGAAATGTTGCCTTGGCAACTAAATAAAATAAAATAAGTTAAAATACTAAAGTCAATAAAAATAGGAATGAAGCTAAATAGAAATATTTATAAAAACCAATAAAAAAATGACAAAAGCACATAAAACTAAAATTAAAAATATTTTGCAAGCATACATTTTTTTTATATGAAATTATAAAAATAAAAGCTAATTCAAAATATAAAATTATATAATAGTATAAATAACAGTTTGAGAGCTACTGGAAAGATATTCAGATTGAAATTTCCTGAGGGTGAATAAATGATTTCTCATTTTTTGGTGAACTATGTCAACGTCACAAGATGTTAATTGATGGACTGGAGTGGTGTGGATTATTGTGATGTTTTATCAGCTGTTTGGATTCTGACGGCACCCATTCACTGCAGAGGATCCATTGGTGAGCAAGTGATGCAATGCTAAATTTCTCCAAGTCTGTTTCAATGAAGAACCAAACTCATCTACATCTGGCCTGAGGGTGAGTATATCTTCAGCTATTTTATTTAATTTTTTGGTAAAATATTCCTTTAAGTAGAACAATCTATTGAACCTATTGAGACTGCATTATAATATTCATAACCACAGGCATATTGACCCAGAATTTGACCCAATCGAGCGCAAACATCACCTCACTGCCAAGGAAGAGCG